GGGCTTGCCCACCCCGGCCATTGGAAACTGGGAAGGTCTCTGGATCTTATTGTGACCCTCCACTGTATATATCTTGTCCGTGTTACCATCCACTTTATTATTTTCCTCTACTTCATAGTACCATGTAGCGTCCTCTATATGTTCCTGCCTACTCTGCCCTATGTAGCATTGATGCTTGTTTACCCGAACCCCCGCTAAACATTTGGTCTCTTGACCTACGCTGATACCTGCCATTTTCCTTTGTATTCTTTATACATTTCTAGGTTGTAATGTAATGTACAATATAGTGTATATAATGCAGGAGTATGTAATGTACCAATATAGTGTATATAATGCGCTAGCAGTATGCAATGTACAATATAGTGTATATAATGCAGGAGTATGTAATGTGACAACTATAGTGTATATAATGCAGCAGTATGTAATGTACAATATAGTGTATATCAGAGCAGGAGTGTGTAATGTACAATATAGTGTAATATAGTGCAGCCAGTGTGTAATGTACAATATAGTGTATTATAGAGCAGGAGTATGTAACTGTACATATAGTGTATATAGCGCAGGAGGTGTGTAATGTACAAATATTGTGTATAATAGCGCAGGAGTGTGTAATGTACATAATATGTGTAATATAGCGCAGGAGTGTGTAATTGTACAATATAGCGCAGGAGTATGTAATGTACAAATAATAGTGTATAAATAGTGCAGGAGTGTGTAATGTACAATTATAGTGTATATAGAGCAGCATGTTATGTAATGGAACACATTATAGTGTATATAGTGCAGGAGTGTGTAATGTACAATATAGTGTATATACTGCAGGAGTATGTAATGTACAATATAGATGTATATAGAGCAGGAGTGTGTAATGTACAATATAGTGTATATAGCGCAGGAGTATGTAATGTACAATATAGAGTATATAGCGCAGGATTAATGTAATGTACAATATAGTGTATATAGCGCAGGAGTATGTTAATGTACAATATAGTGTATATACTGCAGGAGTATGTAATGTACAATATAGTGTATATAGAGCAGGGAGTGTGTAATGTACAATATTAGTGTATATAGCGCAGGAGTAGTATGTAATGTACAATATAGAGTATATAGCGCAGGAGTATGTAATGTACAATATAGAGTATATAGCGCAGGAGTATGTAATGTACAATATAGTTGTATATACTGCAGGGGAGTATGTAATGTACAATATAGTGTATATAGAGCAGGAGTGTGTAATGTAAAATATAGTGTATATAGATAGCGCAGGAGTGTGTAATGTACAATATATCATACATAGTGCAGGAGTGTGTAATGTACAAATATATCATACATAGCGATCGAAGGAGTGTGTAATGTACAATATATCATACATAGTGCAGGAGTGTATAATGTACAATATATCATACATAGAGCAGGAGTGTTGTAATGTACAATATATCATACAAAGCGCAAGAGTATGTAATGTACAATATAGTGTATATAGTGCAGGGGTGTGTAATGTACATATATAGTGTATATAGTGCAGGAGTGTGTAATGTACAATACAGTGTATATAGTGCAGGAGTATGTAATGTACAATATAGTGTTTATAGTGCAGGAGTGTGTAATGTACAATATATCATACATAGCGCAGGAGTGTGTAATGTGTACATACAAATAATGTAAATGTATCATACATAGTGCAGGAGTGTGTAATGTACAATGTATCATACATAGTGCAGGAGTGTAATGTAATGTACAATGTATCATACATAGCGCAGGAGTGTGTAATGTACAATATATCATACATAGCGCAGGAGTGTGTAATGTACAATATATCATACGTAGCGCAGGAGTGTGTAATGTACAATATATCATACATAGCGCAGGAGTGTGTAATGTACAAGGGTATTTGTACATTACTGAGGAGTACTGAGTCAGAGTGCTGCAATGTTTTCAGGAAGCTATGTACAGTGTCCTGCCGACCCCTACCACCAGCCATAATCTGGCTGCACTGCATAGAGGAGCACAATCACCTAGAGACCTAAAAGCTATAAAATGAAAAGTAAAAAGTTATATTAGAATATAATTCACATGTTAATAAGTGGAGGGAGGCAAAGTATAAGCAGAATAAACTTCAAGTTTAGGAACAATTTACCCCATGTGCTTTTGAATTGGATATTTTGGCCTATCAGGTGGATGAAAAAATTTCCAGTGATCTGACCATTTATTTCTACTGCTGCAGGGAGGAAAGCTGGCCATGTACTGTCTGAATTTTGTCTGGTTCCCAATGAATTGTTCGAAATTCGCTCAGTGGGTGGCCCCACTGGCTGCTTTCTGCCCAACAGAAATTGATTAAAAACGTATGGAGCTGGCTGAAAAAAAATTGTTGGCCAAACAGGGCCTGCATCCAATCAAATGCAGGCACCGATTGGGTACCTTGACAGTCAGTGGAGCTGGCTGTCAAAACACAATAGCTGCGGTGGGTGATTTATCCATCTGTGCTGTTCAACGAGTATGAAGAAATCTGTTAGCCTGGAGGCTGAACGGATAAAGTCTGTATATATGTATGACCAGCTTGAACTGTTACTAAACCCACAACAATAAAATCAGTCTGTGTAGGCAGTAAAGCACTCACTGTGGAAACTACTGTAAGGGATTAATCCTCTGCATTGTGTAAAAATGCTGTTTGATCCTGACTTCTCTGATCCTCCCCTTCTGCCAGTGTCCCCCTCTTATCTCCTGATAAGACATATCGAGTGGAGACACTTTGCACAATCTCAGTTTGGTGTGTATTGCTAGAGAGTTTTTTTTTCTTAGGAGAGTGCATGTGATCAGCACAGGGCCAATCAGAACTGTCCAGACAGAGGTCAGGGGTTCTGCATCTTCTTAGCGCAGAAAGAAAACTGCTACAAGCTTTAATCACTCAGGTGGACACTTAAAGAAGTCACAAGACTGCTATATACTACTGATGATGAGAAAATGTATTTAGCAGTTTATATTTACTAAAATAATTGCATTTTCCATGTTCTGTGCACTGTGGGAGACCAGATATAGTGAATGCAGGGTGCGGGGAGACCAGATATAGTGAATGAGGGGTCCGGGCAACCAGATATAGTGAATGCAGGGTCCGGGGGAGACCAGATATAGTGAATGCAGGGTCCTGGGAGACCAGATATAGTGAGTGCAGGATCCGGGGAGACCAGATATAGTGAATGCAGGGTCCTGGGAGATCAGATATAGTGAATGCAGGGTCCTGGGAGACCAGATATAGTGAATGCAGGGTCCAGGGAGACCAGATATAGTGAGTGCAGGGCCCGGGGAGACCAGATATAGTGAATGCAGGGTCCTGGGAGACCAGATATAGTGAGTGCAGGGTCCTGGGAGATCAGATATAGTAAATGCAGGGTCCTGGGAGACCAGATATAGTGAATGCAGGATCCGGGGAGACCAGATATAGTGAATGCAGGGTCCTGGGGAGACCAGATATAGTGAATGCAGGGTCCGGGGAGACCAGATATAGTGAATGCAGGATCTGGGGAGAGCGGATATAGTGAATGTAGGGTCCTGGGAGACCAGCTATAGTGAATGCAGGGTCCTGGGAGACCAGATATAGTGAATGCAGGGTCCTGGGAGACCGGATATAGTGAATGCAGGGTCCTGGGAGAGCAGATATAGTGAGTACAGGGTCCGCGGAGACCAGATATAGTGAATGCAGGGTAATGGGAGATCAGATATAGTGAATGCAGGATCCTGGGAGACCAGATATAGTGAATGCAGGGACCGGGGAGACCAGATATAGTGAGTACAGGGTCCGGGGAGAGCAGATATAGTAGATGCAGGGCCTGGGGAGACCAGATATAGTGAATGCAGGGTCCGAGGAGAGCAGATATAGTGAATGCAGGGTCCTGGGAGACCAGATATAGTGAATGCAGGGTCCGGGGGAGACCAGATATAGTGGATGCAGGGCCCGGGGGAGACCAGATATAGTGAGTACAGGGTCCAGGGAGACCGGATATAGTGAATGCAGGGTCCGGGGAGACCAGATATAGTGGATGCAGGGCCCGGGGAGACCAGATATAGTGAATGCAGACTCCGGGGAGACTAGATATAGTGAATGCAGGGTCCTGGGAGATCAGATATAGTGAATGCAGGGTCCGGGGAGACCAGATATAGTGAATGCAGGGTCCTGGGAGATCAGATATAGTGAATGCAGGGTCCGGGGAGACCAGATATAGTGAATGCAGGGTCCGGGAGACCAGATATAGTGAATGCAGGGTCCGGGGGGAGACCAGATATAGTGGATGCAGGGTCCGGGAAGACCAGATATAGTGAATGTGGGGTCCAGGGAGACCGGATATAGTGAATGCAGGGTCCAGGGAGACCAGATATAGTGAATGCAGGGTCCAGGGAGACCAGATATAGTGAATGCAGGGTCCTGGGAGATCAGATATAGTGAATGCAGGGTCCGGGGAGACCGGATATATTGAATGCAGGGTCCAGGGAGACCAGATATAGTGAATGCGGGGTCCGGGGAGACCAGATATAGTGAATGCGGGGTCCGGGGAGACCAGATATAGTGAATGCAGGGCCCGGGGAGACCAGATATAGTGAATGCAGGGTCCGGGGAGACCAGATATAATGAATGCGGGGTCCGAGGGGAGACCGGGGGAGACCGGATATAGTGAATATAGTGAATGCAGGGTTCTGGGAGACCAGATATAGTGAATATAGTGAATGCAGGGTTCGGGGGAGACCAGATATAGTGAATATAGTGAATGCAGGGTTCGGGGAGACCAGATATAGTGAATATAGTGAATGCAGGGTTCGGGGAGACCAGATATAGTGAATATAGTGAATGCAGGGTCCTTGGTATAGTATCACTTTAAGGTTTTACTCTTCTCACACCTTTAGAAGAGCAAGGACAAATATTGTTCAGGATTATTTCAAAAGCTGTGTGCTGGACAGTCCTACACATATCACTGCACTCTGCCCAGGACTTTTTTCTTCTTGGATACTACAGCAACAAAATAAACAGTATTATATTTTACAAGCAATGCAGCATTCTTTGCGGACTCCCTCCCACAATACAAATATTGAGTGAAGGTGAATACTATCAACCCAGCTGTGCTCAAAAAAATAGAATTAACATTGGCCACTTAGTCACCTATGTGTGGGCAGCCAGGCACTGCGAGAGGATGGGCACTACCCCCGGGGAATGTCATACAAGCTCTTCGTAAGGTGATATAAGTGACCATTGTACTTTGTCTGCCCTTACAGGGGGAATGTAAAAATCCTTCTCAGATATGGCCAGCTTGGGCCGATGTAACTATGTATATACCATACCTGACCGATACCTGTGGAAGCTGAAACCCACGGTAGCAGAAACTGCATCCTGTTGTCACCACCCACCCGCCTCTCCACCTTGTCCAATCAGAGAGTTCTGTCTCTCTGGCTATTTTTTTCCTGTTGTCAATTGTCGGTGCTGCACGATCTCTGAGGGGCCTCACCTGGGATGGTCACACGCCTCCTCCGCGATTTCCAACACTCTGACCTCTCTCTGTGGAGGGAGATGTCGTTGCTATCGGTAACTGCCATCGCGGATGACTGGTACCAATGATCACAGTTGCTGCTGACTTCAGCTGCTGTTGATAACCGTTGTCCTTAGCAACCTCTGGGGATCTGGAAACAGTGTCAGTGTAGTTCAACAGTAGGGGCTGCAGACTAGCTCCCATCTGTCCTCTGCATAGGCACACAAGGCTCGCCCACCCCCTCCCTCCTTGCAAAGCATCCTGGTCCCTGTAGTCCTGTGCAGTTTAACCCATTCACGCCAGCCGCACGCAAATTTGCGGCTTCCTGGCGTCTGGGCCTAGATGCCGAGCGGCCGCACATTTGCGTTCATGTAACAAAAAACATATGTGCTGAGAGCGCGCGCCCTGCACACATGTGCGGTACTCACGGAAAGGTCCCAGTCCGCTCTTTCGATCGGGACCTTTCCCGATCATGTGATTGGCCGTGACGTCATGGCGGCCACATGACACTAAGTCCCGCCCCGTCCCGCCCACCTCCCAGCGCAGGAACTCCTCTTCACGCCGGGACGATCCGGCGTGAAGAGGATAAAGTCACATTGTCTGCCTCTGTGATGAAACTACAACTCCCACAAACACTCCAGAACTACTGAGGGCGGAGCCAATCTGTAAGGGAACCGCCCGGCGGTACTACTAGCACTCCACTGAATAGGCGTCCCCAGCGCACGGAGTCTAAGTCCCAGGGTGCTTGTTCACCAGGGCCCCTGATGGTGGGGATGGACTTGGAGCTCCCTGAGACCAGGTCGTGACTACCGGGGGTGCGTCCGTCAGTGGTAGTAGTATGCGCAAGGGGCTCCACGGGGAAGAGTCTGATGTGAGGAGGTCAGAAGACTCCACTGCACGGGATGGATGGATGGATGAGCAGGGTCAGACGGGCCGGGTCGGTAACAGAGAGGGCGGCAAGGTACAAGGCAGCGGGCATAGAATGGTCGGGGTCACACGCCAGGTCAGCAACAGCAGGTCAAATCCAATAGGGGGCATTCAGGAGAGAGGTCAGGCAAAGCAAGGGTCAGAACAGGCGAAAACAGCAAGGTCAGGTTCAATCCGGGTCAATAACTTACAGGGTACAGGTTCACAGGATTCAGAATGCAGGAAAGACCAGAAGGCACTGAATGACAGCTCAGGGTCGTTTAAATATCCCGCCCTGCGCTGCCATTGGTGCCCAGCGGGCGGCCGCGGCTTCTACTGCGCATGCGCGAACTCGAACGCCGCGGCCGGCCCGGAACCAGTGCTCGAGTCCCTGCGCTGGGCGGCATACTGCGCCTGCGCCGGGACCAACGCGGCGGGGATCGAGGGGATCCCTGACATTGCCCCCCCCCTACGGGCAACCTCCGGATGCCCATCCGATCTCTCCACCACGGGTGATCGCGAAAGAACCTCCGGACAAGTCTGGGTGCATGGACATTATGGGCTGGTTCCCAAGAATTGTCCTCAGGACCATAGCCCTTCCATTTGATAAGGAATTGGGTCTGGCCTCCCCTCCTTCGACACTTCAGGATTGTTTCAACCTCAAATTCTTCTTCTCCTTCGACCGTTACCGCTTCCGGGGGTCTAGATTCCCGGTCAGGGAAGGCATCTGGGACCACAGGCTTCAGAAGGGACACATGAAAGACCGGGTGGATCTTGAGCGTGTCAGGGAGGGCGAGTTCATAGGCTACTTCGTTAACCATCCGTTCACCATTAATGCAGAAGGGGCCTATAAATTTGGGTCCCAATTTCTTCGATGGGCAAAGCATCTTTAGATTGGACGTCGCCAGCCAAACCTTCTCCCCAGGCCGCAATACCAGATCTCCTCTCCGTTTCCTGTTGAATGCTTTCCTGTAGTCTTCCTGGGCCCGACTGATGGCCACTTGAAGCTTCTCATTGTTCGCAGCGAAGAACGTTACCCACATCTTGTGTTGCTGGTACTGGGCATTCCGACACCAAATCCGAGGGGAGGAAGACTGGGTGAAAGCCATAGTTGGCGAAGAACGGGGACTGCCCTGTTGCTGAGTGGCGGGCGTTGTTATACGCAAATTCCGCTAAAGGAAGAAGTGGCAGCCAGTCATCTTGAGTAAATGAGGTATAGCATCTCAAATATTGCTCTAAGGTCTGATTGGTCCTTTCGGTTTGACCGTTAGTTTGAGGGTGGAACGCAGAAGAGAGAGATAATTTGATGTCCAGGGCTTTGCACAGTGCTCTCCAGAATCTGGACGTGAACTGGACCCCTCGGTCCGAGACAATGTCTTCGGGGACCCCATGCAACCTGACTACCTCACGAATGAAGACTCGCGCGGTCTCGGCCGCCGAGGGGGTCTTCTTCAACGGGATGAAGTGGGCCATCTTGGACAAGCGGTCCACGACTACCAGGATTGCCGTGTGGTCTCGGGATGGCGGAAGCTCGACTATAAAGTCTAGTGAGATCTTTTGCCAAGGCCGTTCAGGAATAGGTAAGGGTCGCAGCAGACCCCAAACCTTGTTTCTTGAGGGCTTGTTCTTCTGGCAGGTGACACAGGACCTGACATAGCCCTTACAATCTTTAGCCATGTCTGGCCACCAGAATGAGCGTCGGAGAAGTTCCAGGGTCTTTTCTGGGCCAAAGTGCCCCGCCATTGGGTGGTCGTGGCAATGCCCCAAGACCAGGGTTCGAGCTTCTTCCGGCACCACAATTCGATCTTCCCTCCATAGGAGTCCCCCCTTGTTCTGGAGTGGCCCTCCGCCTGGGGTAGAGCAGTTTGTGGATGCCTCCATTAGCCTGGAACGAAGGTCCGACTGAAGGACCAAGAAGTTACCCCGAGGATAGGATGGTGTCAGGTACTGGGGTCTCCTTGGGCGTCTTCGTACATCCGTGATAACGCATCCGCTTAGTGTTCTTTGATCCCGGCCGGTACGTAATATGGAAGTTGAATCTTGAAAAGAATAGTGCCCATCTCGCCTGTCGCGGGCGTAGACGCTTGGCAGTTCTCAGATACTCTAAGTTCTTATGGTCAGTAAATATTAAGATGGGGTGCACCGCACCTTCCAGCAGGTACCTCCATTCCTCTAACGCCGTTTTGATCGCTAGTAGCTCACGGTCACCGATATCATAGTTCCTCTCCGCTGGGGTCAGTTTCCGTGAGAAGAACGCTAATAGTTCCTGTGGGGTGAAGTGGGGGTGATGGGGGGGGGGGTGTGTGTGGTGAGGGGGTGTGGGGGGGGTGGGGGGTGTAGATGACCGGGGGGAGCAGTTCCTTGGTGCCTTTTCGTTGGGAGAGGATGGAGCCTACCGCATTCTCCGATGCATCTACCTCCAAGATGTAGGGCAGAGCGGCGTCTGGGTGACCCAAAATGGGTGCCGAAGTGAACAGCTTCTTTAAGGCATCGAAAGCTTCCTGCGCTTCTGGTGTCCATCTGAATCGGGTCCCCAGCTTGGTTAGCTGATTAATGGGGGAGACCAGACCCGAGAAGTTCTTGATGAACTTCCGGTAAAAATTTGCAAAGCCGATGAATCGCTGGACGCCTTTCCTGTCTGTGGGTTCAGGCCAATCCAGTATTGCAGCGACCTTCTGGGGATCCATCGCGACCCCCGCGGTGGAGATAATCAGGCCCAAGAAGGCAATGCTGGATTGTTCAAAAAACAACATTTTTCTGCCTTGGCGTACAACCCATGCTGCCGCAGCCGCCCCAATACTTTTGCTACATGTATTCTGTGTTCCCCCAGAGACGGGGAAAAAAAATCAGAATGTCGTCTAAATAAACGATCACAAAGACATCCAGAAAATCTCTAAAAATATCATTTACAAAATGTTGAAACGTGGCCGGAGCATTACACAACCCGAACGGCATGACCAGATATTCAAAATGACCGAAGCGGGTGCGGAAGGCCGTCTTCCACTCGTCCCCCTCCCTTATGCGAATCAAGTTGTACGCCCCCCTCAGATCCAGCTTGGTAAAAACTACTGCTGACTTTAAACTTTGGAACAGTTCAGGTACTAACGGTAGTGGGTAACGGTTTTTTTTATCGTGACCCTGTTCAGTTCCCTGTAATCGATACATGGCCTTAAGGTTTTGTCCTTCTTTTCAACAAAGAAGATTCCCGCCCCCGCCGGTGAAGTGGAGTGGCGGATGAACCCCTTCTGGAGGCTGTCCTCGATATATTCCTTTAGGGCCCCCAATTCGGGCTCTGAAAGGGGGAAGATTCGCCCAAAAGGAATTTCTGAGCAGGGTAACAGGTCAATGGGGCAGTCATAAGGGCGGTGGGGGGTAGAGTATCAGCTCCCCGTTTGCTGAACACATCTAGAAACCCATGGTAGGCCGCAGGGATTACTTGTTT